GATAATGTTAATTCACTGAATAATATTCTCTGGAATATTGAAATAGGCCTATAACAAACAAAACATCGTATTTTATTGCTTGACGGATTATCTTACGTGACTCCGTGAGTTCATCTCTATTTCTTCGAGCCAAGCTGCATAAACTGCATATCAGGCATTTATGTAATACGTCTAATTTGTGCATTAATGGCTGTTATGTTAAATAAAGTTTACTAACTACAGTAAATCAAGTACCTGTGCACGCCATTGTTGTTGCCTTGTTTCCCCTCAGATGTTCTGCAATGTTGATACTGCGCGCAATTCTCAAAACATCTACAAGATGACGGCGTTTATCGGTGAATCCAAATAATTATTACAAAACCGATATCCGATTATTGTAAATGCTTAAATATCGGGAAAAATATCGGTAAATCGATATATCGGTCGATCTCTAATCATCACATCTGTCTGCTGATCCCTAGTGATTGGCTAAAAGTGTGGCCGCAACGTCAACATCAGCACCAGTCGTCTTTGCAGTGTGCATGCGTGATGACTGATTGGATGCAGTATATGCACACTTGGGCTTGTTTGTTAACCAATTAGCCTATACAATTTATATATTTGAAAACTGCCAAACTGACCCCAAAACAGCCCAAATTTTGTCCAACCGCCCAAGCCAATTTTTACCCGCACACTCAAATTCAAAACCACCCAATCTGGCAACATGGGTGATGCTCTAATCTGTATCTTTTAAGTTTCCATAAATACATAAAAATGCAATTCATGGTGACTTAAACCTACTTCTTTTATGATGAGCATGTTAACTTCTGAATTAATAATGAAGCAAGGAATTAAAGGGGAATAAAGTAAAACATGTTAGGGTGACACCATAGTGTTTTGAACTAAATTTTTCATTCTTTTTAAAAGATTTTCATCATAGACAATTTTCATAGCAGACAAGTACATCATGTTTAAGTTCAATGTGTTTCACTCACATCACGAGGCTGCTGATGAAGGAAAAACTGGCAAAATGTATACAATGATATATGAGACGCCATGCCAAGTGCCTCATTTAGACTGATTACTGATGTTTTCCTTAACCTTCACAGTTCATGGAGATTCAATTGAGTGGTGAAAGTGATTATATAAGTCAATTTACAGCAGTTTTTAAAGTAATAAAAACGGCACATTCTGCAAATACTTAAAGACAGTTCATAAGGTTTTAAGTTTATCCACACATCACAGAAAGTCTGAATCAACCGCAAGTGACATTCTCTGAAAGAGAAAAATTATTCTTAGTCAGTCCCATTACAGTTGCTCTAAGTCTTTTATATAATATTTTGGACAGTAATGAACTAAATTGATCAAA